ACATACATAGTCAAAGCACATATGCATGTGTGCTGATTTACCATAAAAATCAAATGATGCATTTTGATGCTTAAAGTCTGTAATAATAGAGGAAGTGGGTGGAAATAGTAGGGACTAGTGAGGGTCCAGCACGTGGCACTACTTAAGCGTCACAGAATGTTGATGCTAATTCACTAGTAGAACCTCTGGGCTCTCGACCAAATCGAAATTTGAAACTATACTCCGATATTAAGAGGAATGTGCCAATCTGTTTAACTCCACTACAACAATGGATCCATATCTACGTAAATCTATTTTCTAGATATTTTGAAACTAAACAGAGGAATGTTGTATAAGAAACACGATGTGATACATACTAACAAATAGGGACACCATACTTGTAACTCTTGTTTTAAATTTTAAAAAACTTCGACGATAGTGGATTGGGAGCTTTCAGATATAATCATATAATTTTGGGGTTAGTCTTTTAGAAGTATATATGTATGTATAAACGAATATAGGTTATGTATATGAATATTCGATCATATCCTAAAAGAGACATAACATATGGTAGTTGCTCCACCGTAGGAAGTTGTGCGTGTGGACCGCTTCACCGTTGAAAATATGTGAAAAGTTGCCATCATTCCAAAAAGAATCCTTTAGATATTTCTTAGAGCCAAAAACATACATTCGTGTATGCACTATAGATCTCAATCGTTACAGGAACACACAAAAAATAGTGTAAATCTTGTGGAATCAATATAATCGATATAGTTATTGCAAACAAACATAAACACACATCACAATCCGTTAATATATATATAAACTAGAACAAATATAATTAAGGTGGAATTGCTCTTCTAAATTTACAAATTATTATGTCACTTAACAGGCATCGATTATTGTTCAAATAATATTGTGAAACTACATGTGTTTCAATTACTAGATAAAATTATTAGTATCTTTCTGTACGTCCAAGAATATGAATCCGCTTACAAAACTTTTTTTTTTTTAATAACTAAGAAATTTTGGGTCTAGGTTCATACAAAAGTTTTTAATCAATCATATATTAAATTAAAAAATATCATTTTTTGATTGGCTGTTCAAATCAAAAAGAAAATGTTTACAAAAATTGATATACCTTTGTTAAATTTGGCCTCTGCATATAAGATTTTAATCGAAATCTATCTAGTTTCTATGCACACACGTTTTCTGTGTTATACATGCGAAATAATATTATCATCATATCAAAAGACCATCACAAAACACCGACCGACCTATAATAACCTATGAATATTCAATGTTGTGATCATTCATATATACGTTAAATTTTCTAAAATAAACATATACGATGTTTTTTGACCAAAAAAAAAAAAAAAACATATACGATGTAGGGCCATATGATGACCTCGTACGTATGTAATAAATCACAATTTTAAATAAATATTTTTTTCTAATAAAATCATATATGATCAAGCTAGACTAGTTTTTATCAAATTTCTTTAACAAGTTTAGACCATTTGAATTTGATATAGCAAATGTTAGCTTGAATGGTTTCTGACTGAGTTAGATTAGTCAACTGATAGACGACAAGATGCTCGTTAATGCTATGTGTTCTATAGTTTTTAATAATCACGATATACCTGATTTCTCATCATTTTCGATTAATTGTAGAATTTGCGGCCGCGTGACCAATCTGAAAGATGTATTAGTGATTTTTTTTCTACAACTGTCAATGGTGTTGATGTTTATATGCGTGTGTTTTCTAGATGTATTTTGCCTTGTAATGATGATGATGATCACCATCATTTGCAGATCACAGGCCCGTAATTAGAAAATTTCTAAGTGGGATTGACGTTGAGATGCATCTTAAATGGGTTCTTGAAGGATAATGTTTTCTACTTTAAAGAAACTCAAGTAGATCAGTAATATCAAATATTTAATCATTTCGTCTGACTTTTTGTATAATACCGACTATAATAGAGACTACATTTCATTTCGTTTTTAGCAATATCGTTATAATTAACAATAATCTTATAATCATTGTCAATTTTTTTTTAACTCACAACATGTATAGGAGATGCAAGTATAATGGTTTTTTAAATCTTTTTTCCTAACAAAATTTATTTAGTTTCGAGCTGGGACTTAACAAAAGGGTGGGTCTGGCCCATCTAACACTATCAAACCAACTTGTCACGGACCGTTGTTGCCTATAAATGGTAGCAGAAGCTTTCTTACAATAATTTCATAACAAAACAAGATTTTGAAGTAAAACATAAGAAAAGAAACCCTAAAAAAAGAGAGAAAATGATCAAAGGGTTCTTGTTGGTTTTTTTCTTTTTAATCACTGCAAAGACTTCAGTTTCCCGTCCGTTCGCATGGTCGAGGGGTAACATGCCAGGCCAAAACTATCCCGGCGAAAGTGGGTCGGGCCGTGGGCCCAATTGGGAGTACAACTGGGGTTGGGGCTCTGCTCCAGGATCTGGATGGGGATTCGGATCAGGCTCGGGTAGATCACCAACAGGATGGGGAAGAGGATCCGGATACGGTTATGGATCCGGATCCGGATCAGGTACCGGATATGGATATGGTTCTGGAGGTGGTGGAGCACGTGGTGGTGGATATGGTTACGGAAGCGGAAATGGCCGGTCTGGTGGAGGTGGTGGTGGTGGTGGTTCCAACGGTGAAGTTGCCGCTTTGAGCCACGGTAGTAAGATTCATCCGTAAGGATGTTTTATTTGGTAATTTCTCCCAACCAAAATATTTTGGGAGGAGTATAAGTGTTTGTAAGATTAAAGATTATTAGGTTTGGTACCCTCCTAAATGTAACTTATCTTCCTTTGTCTTGAATGCTTTTTATATAGATTATGCGCTCGACATATCTTATAATGTCTGCATGTTTTTAAAGTGTGATCTCTTTTAGTGTTTTTGTTTGTTTCCAAACGCTTGTTTTGATCATTTGAAGAAAACAAATATTATATCAGATTTGCATTTAGTTCAACTTGTATCGATTCAATTCAAGAAACCAATCTCTAGATGTACAATACAAATTCTAAGCTAACATCAGTACATCACTAATCAAGAACCCTCGGACATAAAAGAAGGTTTTACAGTACACAACAATGTGATTATACGACCCAATGCATAAATATGATCAAGCAGCAGCGAGTTGCTTCTTATTGTGATGAGTGGATAAAGAGTCGTCCTCGTGTGGATTCATCAGAAGTTTCGTCTTAGAAGAGCTTTTGAATGAAAGAGAAGGTTCTAGAAACAGAGACTTCATCTTCGTCAACATCCCCATCTCTCTTTGTAGAAAACAACAGTAGTTATTGAAAGTAGAAACGGTGACGTTTAACTGAAACCCGATTCCGAACAAGAAGTCAAGCTCAAGCATGTTCATTTCTTCTCTGCTTATTCCTCCAACTTTTGCATAATATCCATTGTTGTAACTCCTAAAATTGTAACACAAAAAAAAAAAAATTATTAAACAAAATGTTAACTAATTAGTGAATTTCGACAAATTAATTAACTTCAGAATTATTTACTTACAAGTCATCCATGAATTTAGCAGAGACCAAAACACTTGTGATTATAAGCCTATGCACATTGAAGGAATTGATAGGCAAAAATGGCTGCTTCTTCACGAACCGATCCAAATATATATACGCGACGATGTAACACGAATAGCTACAATTCGCGTAATTGAAGATCCTCTCGAGATAGCTTCTGATGGAAATGGAAGGTTTGGTTAGTCCAGTGAAGCTTGAGATCCTCTGTTTCTGGCTCAGCTTGTCGTTGGTCTCCGATACTCTTTGCAACAGATACGACATTGCCGTTAAAACACTTGGCATGATCTCAGCCATTGGTTCTTCAAGATCTTGGTTCATTATCTGGATCTGAATCTGATCAGCCATTGGATTGATGGAAGAAAAGATAAACAGAGCTCTGTTTGTGATGAGTTTATTACATTAAATCACATTACATGTTTTGGTTTGCTTTTTTGTACCTGTCTTTTGCCTGTCATTTTGGTGTTATATAGAAGGAATTTTAAAGAGAAAATCACATTTTTAACCCTCAAAGTGTTATTGGGTAGCACTTTAAACCTCGAAAGAATTCTACTAACACTATAAACAACCAAAATAATTTTACTAACACTTTAAACCTCCAAACTAGTTTTCATGTTTTCCCCGCCCTAAGATATGATAGAACAATTAATTTATGTTGGTTTAATATAAATTAATTTAATTTAATTTAAATTGTAATTAATTTTATTATTTATTTTGATTTTTTGATTATTAAGAAACGTAAAAAAAAAATAGATTCCTCTGATACGGAGAATTCTTTGTTTTCTGACAAAATTTTGACATTCTTTAGTTTTTATTATTCTATTCAAGTTTTTCTTGTACCTCATATTCTACATTATTTGGTTTATATTATTATACTATAAACTTCTCTTGTGCTTAAATCTAAAGTTTCAGAAGTTGAATTTCGAAATTTCATGGTCGAACGGTGAATAAACAAAGAAGGTGAAGTTTTTTAGATTTTTATTAATTGTAATAACTAATAAAATTAATTTAAATTAAAGTTTTTTATATTTTTATTAGTTGTAATAAATAATAAAATTAATTTAAATATAAATTAAATTAAATAAATGTATACTAAACAAATAGAAATTATATTTTCTATCTTTTTTTATGGTGTGACAAACAGAAAAGAGCTAGTTTAGATGTTTAAAATGTTAGTAGAATTATCTTGGTGGTTTATAGTGCTAGTGAATTCTTTCGAGGTTTAAAATTCTACCCAGTGGCCAGTAACACTTTGAGGGTTAAAAATGTGTTTTTTCCGAATTTTAAATAAGATTGTGAATATTCTATTACTCTGCATTAAATTTTTATTCTCTACTACTCCATTCATTACAAGTATCATTTTAGAATTTTGTTTTAAACTATGCATTGAAAATACAAACATTTTTTTCTGGGAAACAATATTATTATTTCTCTTATTGTTTTTTCTTACATTGTTCTAAATGATTAAAAACTCTTATGTTATCGTTATGTACATCCTTGTGAAAAAATTTAGTTTGGATGTAAATATATTTCCTAGTAAACGTGAAACACTTCAACTAGAAGAACTACATTCTCATGTGGTAGTTCACAAATCACGCATTCTATGTTTGATTTTCTAGTTTCATTTGGATACTCAAGATTAGTTTTGAATTTAATATCTAATGAATAGTGATTACTCGATCATCTCATGGTTAAACCATGGGCCAG